ACAAGAAACTCATCTGGGTTCACGGGGGGGTCTTCGGGGTCAGGTCGGGTTCCTCCTCGGGGTGCTCCTCGGGGTCCTCCTCGGGGTGCTCCTCGGACTCCATGGCTTGGTGTACCACTACCTCCTCCGGATGACCTCGCAAAATCAAAGGACATAGATCCGAAATTCGGGGAGATCATAGGCATGCCACCGTATCCGGAGTTGGGAAAAAAACCCATACCGCCCATGTGCGCAACTTGAGGAGTTTGCTCAGGGTGGAATACGTACGGGGGAGGAAAAGGCTGTTGCGGAGGTTGGAATCCGGCACGCATGAACCGTTCCATCTCCTCCAGCCGGGCTTTTGTTTCTTCCTCTCTTTTCCGTTGCTCCTCCCATCGCGGTTCGTGCTCCTCCAGTTCACGCTGCATTTGGGCCATACGAGAGTCTTCTCCCCGCCTTGACCGAGAAGAGGAAGCGTCGGAGCTTCGATCATACAAAATCCGTTGCCCCTCAGCCCCCAAGCACGGAACCCGACCCTTGTAAACCCCGGCCGCCTCAATGGCCGCCTCATCATCCGCATCGGAATCGAGCTCGTCCTCCTGGGTCAAGCCTCGCTCCGCACGCTGCCTTTCAACGGATTCGTTGTACTTCAACTACATTTAAAAAAAATTAAATATTACATACTTAGATTTGAAATGTTACTAAATAACAAAATATGATGTTATATACTTCAAAGTCAGCGAGGCGGGGTGGCAGATTGGCTTCAGACTCCTCGTCGTGCTTTGTCCAGCAATGCTTGACGAGGTTGAGAATATTAACCTTCTTCTTCTCAGGACCAGCCTACATGGTGTGAAAAAGGCTTAAGAAAATTTTGTATAATCAAGGGTCGTAATGGTGTAAGCTTTTTTGAATAACACTTACAAGAGTTTCTTTATGGGCATTCTGGGATTTGCGACCCCCATGCCACTGCGTCTCCAAGGCCTTCTCGGACATCCGGTTTTTCTTACCGGATTCACTTCTGGCCAAGAATTTCGGATCTGAAGACCAGTGGCGACAAAGGTTGGTCCACACTTCATCCGAAACCCATTTAGGCTTTCTCCCACGGTTTCGGGCACGCTTAAAAGTGGGCCGAAGCCAGGTTGAAATCCTAGCATTGTAGGCTCTAAGAATATCAGCACCGTTTGCGTGAGTCCAGCGATAGCGAGCCTTTATTAAAAAAATTGGATTAATTAATCATTTGTTTATATATTACACTACTACACTTTATTCATTTATTTTTACCTTAAATAGCTTCCACCATAGTTCGCGGACCTTGGGATCAACCTCGGAGTAGGAGGCCCAATTGCCAAGAAAGTGTCCTCCTATTATGTTTTTTATGCCTTCAAACACTGCTTTGTCACTTTAAAAAATTAAGAGTATTTATTTAAATGAGATTTGGTTAGATTATTTGACAGTATATAAAATTAATTGACTTATGGTTTGTTCATAACTACTTACAAAGCAACTTCGACTGGGGTCACCCAAACAGCTCTTTCATTGTTGCGCTCGGCTTCAGTCATGGGCGCAAAGTTAGGCTGGGCGGCCGATGTCGATTGTTCATCAGTCATCTAAAATACATTAATTTATTTTGTTTTTTGTTAGTGCGATTGTAATAGAAGATTAAATTTTTCATAAGTATTATCAATTGAAAATGTGTATAACATATTAAAATGTGTATAAGTTTAATATGGGGGGTCCAATAATTACTAATAAACAAATCCTATAATTATCAATGAGTTGACACAGTCGACCGAAGAATCAACCGGTTGGAGCTCATCAATGAGTTGACCAAGTCGATTCATTGGTAAGCTCTATCCGGGTGATTTTTCGGGCTACGGCTTGAACCATGGATGGGCTAAATCACATGTAGCGACATAATGTAAGTACATGCGCTTGGGAGAGTACGTCGATGGCTAAAGCCGTAGCCAGAAAAATCGACCGGTTGGAGCTTATCAACGAATTGACTGGGTCAACTCATTGATAAGCTCCAACTGGTCGATTCTTCGATCGACTAGGTCAACTCATTGATAAATTATATGATTTGTTTGTTACAAATTATTGGACCCCTCATATTTAACTTATATACAGTTTAATATTTTATACACATTTACAATTGTAAGTAACATGTTAAACTTTTTGCAAAGTTTACATGAGAGGCCATCTTTTTTTTATGTTTTAGATACATGAGTTTTATACAATTTTTATAAACAGTTTTACAAAATTATAAAAAACAGTATACTTTTTTTTCAAAAACAGTTTATAAAAAAAGTTTTTTATGTACTTTTTAAATAAAAAACAGTTTTTATACAAACTGTTTTCTAGAAAAACAGTATAGTTTGAGTTTATACAAAAAACGGAATTTATAATGTCAAAATAACAGTTTTATACTTTTTTAATTAAATTACAAAAACAGATTATATAACACAGTTTTAATATAAACAGTTTTTACAATAAACAGTTTTTAAACAGTTTTTACAATAAACAGTTTTTATATAAACAGTTTTTAATTAAATTACAATAACAGTTTTTAAGTAAACCAAATTTTCATTTTAAACAGTTTTTATAAAAACTGCAGTTTTTATAAAAACTGTTTTTACAAAATCTGTTTTTATATAAAACAGTTTTTGTAAAAACAGTTTTTATAAAAACAGTTTTATATAAAAACAGATTTTGTAAAAACAGTTTTTATAAAAACTGCAGTTTTTATAAAAACTGTTTTTACAAAATCTGTTTTTATATAAAACAGTTTTTGTAAAAACAGTTTTTATAAAATCTGTTTTTATATAAAACTGTTTTTATAAAAACAGTTTTTATAAAAACTGTTTTATTTATTAAACAGTTTTTATAAAAACTGTTTATTTACCATTTTGCTATAAAAACTGTTTTATAAAAAATTAGTTTTTAATATCCAGTTTTTAAAAAACAGTTTTTTTTAAACTGCTTATATCCAGATTTAAAAAAACTGTTTTGTTCTTTTTTAAATAATTATAAAAACAGTTCGTATCCAATTTTTACTTTTTATATTAATAAAAACTGTTTATAAAAACTGTTTATAGAAACTGTTTATAAAAATTTGTAAAATTAAAAAAACTGTTTATAAAATAATTTGTATACTTTTTATAAAAATTGTTTATAAAAATTTGTAAAATTATAATTAAACATGTTAAGTTTGTGAAAGCTTAACATGAGGGGGCAATTTTTTTTTAAAATATTTCGGGTTAAAGCATGAAAAACATAAACATTGTATAACCATAGAGAGACATGCATATCAAACACTAATCATATATATTAAATATTATTAATCATGCATATGAACATATATTACACATATAATAATCTAAATCGTTTAAACATAATTATCATGCATACAAAACATATAAATCATGCATATGAAACATATAAACTAAAACAAGTTATATTAAACATATAAAACATCTAACAAACTAAATTATATTAAACATGTATACCAACTAAAGAACATGTATTTCTTGAAATTTATTTCGAAATGTATTAAACATGTATTCGAAAATTATATTTCGAATATATACTATTAAACATGTTATATTAAAATTTAATATTAAACATGGATTTCGAAAATTATATTTCGAATATTAAAGAACATTATAATTCGAATAAATGTCATGTATATAATCATGCATTTGAGTATATTTCAATGAAAGAGCATGCACTTTAATAATGGAACATACTTATAATAACATGCATTTTTGGAATAAAAATCAAATACTAAAAATAAGAATGAAAAGTCATTTAAATTTAGAACACATAACCTTGATGAAGAGGACGGCGAAGAACGACGGAGGTAGCTAACGGAGAGCGGCGGCGGCGGCCGGTGGCGACAGATGGGGTGGAAGGCGGCGGTGGAGGGCGGTGGAGATTGCCGGAATGAGAGGAGAAGTAAAGGGAGAAGGAGTTTTAGGGTAGGGAGAGTGGTGGGAATGAAAAAATTCGCTAAGTGTTGTTTTTATATAAGGGCTTAGTCACGGTCATAGTCACGGTCAAAACCGTGACTATTCCGGTCAGCGGCGGCTCTGACCGTCAGGCCTGCAGCGACATTTACGAAGGCTTTAGTCACGGTCAGGGCCGTGACTATGGCCGTGACTTTAATTTTCTTTGTAATTTTGTATTTTCGAAGTATTTAAATTATTGGATCAATTTTCGAATTTATAATATGGAATATTGTGGAAATTTGTAGTGTGGACTGTGAAGTATTAAATAAACTGCTTTCAATTTATTTGGTTTCAATCTGTATCTGAACCGTCTATCTATTCACCTTCTTTCTGATATTGAGCGTTTCTGAAAGGTGTGTTTCTGGCATGACTTCAACACGTCTTTCAATTGGATCACTTAATTGGATGTTATAGTTGACCGTCTCAATTAATTTTTGAATTTTCGAATTTTTTGAATTTAAAATAAATATTTTTTGTTTTGAATTTTTAAAGTTTTGAAAACTTGTTGTTGTTGAATTAATATGGAGTAATTTTTAGTTCATAAATAATAATGAAGAAGAAAAAAAATCAAATATTGTTGGAGTAATATAATGATGAAGAAAAGAGCACAAATATTAGAAGTCAATAAAATTGAAATTACAACAGCACAATTATTCGCTATCAGAATCATCATTTTCTACATATACAGTATCTTCTTCTGTATCTGAACCGTCTATCCATTCACCTTATTCCTGATATTGAGCGTTTTGTTGTGCTACATACATTTCCTCAATTTCGCGCTCAGATGGAATGGTTAGGTCCGGAAGGTGCGTTTCTGGCATGACTTCAACACGTCTGCCATTTGGATCACTTAATTGGACGTTATAGTTGACCGTCTCAACAATAGGCGGAGGTTGGAAAAATTGTTGCTGAAAAGCATCTAGATCAACGTCCTTGTGTTGAGTTTGTGATTTAATTTTGTTCGGACGGACAGGACATGCACACACCCAAGGATTCTGGGTCAGCCTTGTTGAAGGATATTCTGCATAATAAATCTGCGCTGCTTGTTGGGCGAGTATGAAAGGCTCATTTTTCGGGTACACACGAGAGTGGTTGACGTCAATCATATTATACTTCGGATTTTTGCGCACGCCACGTGTGGGATCGACCCATGTGCAGCGGAACAGAACGCATGTCAATTTTTGCGCACCAGAAGGCATCTCAAGTTCCAGAATCTCCTGCAGGACACCAAAAAAATTGGTTTCCGAGTTATCATAACCGATGGTCGGGACACATAACCCGTTGTTCGTTGTTGGTCGGCCCTGTCCATAATCGGCTGTGTGATATGTGTAACCGTTTATCACATATTGCCGCCACACTTTGGCACTGGCACTTGGGCCCCACGCTAATGATACTAACAAAGGGTCGACAATCCCACGACTATTGATCTGTAAATATAAACATAATAATAACATTAGGTAAATATTGAAAAATCTTACTTAATAATATATATAATTAATGTGTGTATATATATACCTGATACTTGTACCAATTTACAAAATCAGAGTCCACCAATGCATCAATTTCATTCTCAGGAAAGGCTGATAAAGAAGCTCGGAATTCACTGTGAAGTCAAAAATAAAAAAAAAACTATAAATTAACTACAAATTTAATTTATAAGTATTACAATTATAACTACAGATTTAACTTACTGATAAAACGGTGAGATTTCTGGACAATTCATGAGGATATAAGTATGCGCAATTTGCAATTCCCCACCCAGGATGTATCGTTGTGTCGCAACACATTTACCTCTGCCTGGGTAATTGAAGATGGAAACTACATTTTCATATAAATCCTCGCCAATGTCATCATTCCGGGCAGGTCTCTTCCTTCTGGTGATGACGTCACGCTCGAAGTAAAAAGACGAGAACGTTGAGATTTCTTGTTGAAGATACGCTTGACAAATTGAAGCCTCAACGTGTGCCTTGTTGGTCACTTTCTTTTTCAGCTCTCCTAGAAATCTGCAATAATGTAATAATACACATGTTAACAGTTATTGTGAAATAAATATTCTTTTTTTAAATGAAATTGTGACTAACCTTTCAAATCTGTACATCCAGCGATAGAAGACGGGCCCAGCAGTCAAAGCCTCATACGGAAGATGTATTATGAGATGTTCCATTGTATCGAAAAACGATGGAGGCATTATTTTTTCCAGATTACACATCAGAATGGGAACAGACTCTTGTAGTCTCCGGAGGGATGCCGCATCCAAAACGCTGGAACATATCGATTGAAACAACAAACTGATTTCAGTAATGCAGGACCATACGTGTTCAGGGAGCATCTCTTTTAGTGCAATTGGTAGAAGTCTTTGCATTATTACATGAGCATCGTGAGTTTTCATGCTCGCCGTCGTGGTAAGTTTGTTCATGTCTACGCATCTAGACAAGTTGGAGCAGTAGCCATCTTGAAACTTCTGAGACGCAAGCCATTGTAATATTGCTGCCTTTTGTGGTTCTGTGACCTGGTAGACTGCTTTTGGAACTTCCTTGCCCTGATATTCTAGATCAACATAAAGTTCGGGTCTATCACACCAAATAGTCATATCTTTCCTAGCTGCAAGACCGTCTTTAGTTTTGCCTTTCAAATCCATCACCGTGTTAAATATATTGTCAAAGACGTTCTTCTCAGTGTGCATGACATCTAAATTGTGACGGATGAGAAGGTCTTTCCAATAAGGCAACTCCCAGAATATGCTCCTCTTTGTCCACTTATGGGTATCACAATACCCATATGGCTCTTGGTTTGGCTCTTCCATAGTCGTAGGAAAACGTCGAACCCGGTTATAAATTTCTTCACTGGTCAATCTCGGGGGTGGGCTCTCTCGTACCGCTCTGCCTCTAATGAAAGACTTCTTGTCCTTTCGATATCGGTGCCTTTCCGGGAGAAACTTGCGGTGACAATCAAAGTAACTTCCTTTTTTGCTGTAACTGAGCCAGTTGGCACCTGATTTCTCCATGCATATCGGACATCCCATCAGACCGTGTGTGCTCCATCCCGAAAGCATGCCATAGGCAGGGAAGTCGCTAATGGTCCAAATGATGGCAGCTTTCATGATAAACATTTTATCTGATGAAACATCATAAGTTGGTGTCCCAACGGCCCACAGTTCTTTCATCTCCTCAATAAGGGGTTGGAGATAAATGTCTATCTTTCGCCCAGGATCCTTGGAACCCGGACAAATTAAAGACAAAAAGATGAAATGACTTTTCATGCACATGTCGGGAGGAAGATTGTAAGAAGTTAACATGACCGGCCAACATGAATAGTTCTTGCCAAACCTGCCAAAAGGAGCAAATCCATCTGAGCACAATCCCAACCGCACATTTCGTGGCTCCATAGCAAACTGAGGATGACAGCGGTCAAAGTGTCTCCAGGCTTCACAGTCCGAAGGGTGAGCCATCATACCCTCGTTGGTTTCATGCTCAACATGCCATGTCATGTGTTTCGCAGTAGCAGTCGAAGCGTACATCCTTTGCAGTCGAGGAGCTATTGGGAGGTAATACAGTTTAGACAGTGCAGACCTATGTGTGGTTTCTTTTTACCTTGACGAACAGGTTTGTATCTGTCTCCACCACAGAACTTGCAGAACTCAGTTGCCTCATCCTCCTTCCAGAACAACATACATCCTTCCGGGCACGCATTAATTTCATCACAAGGTAGCCCCAACTTAGACATTAACTGCTTCATGTGGTAATATGAATCGGGAAGGGTATGATCTCGCGGTAGCATCCCTCCTACTGACTGCAAGACTCTATTCATGCAAGTTTCAGGGAGACTGTATTCGGCTTTTATGTTCATGAACTCAGTAACAGCGGACAACTGAGAGTATCCCTCACAATCAGCATACAGAGGTTGGTCGGCAGCTTTTAGAACATCCTGAAATCTCTCAGCCAAACCTTCATCCACATAAGGTTGATAAAATGTCGGATTTTCATCCGCATCTGGTTGATACGAGGTTGAGGCTTCAGGGGGGTCGTTAGGTGGTTGTGGGGGGTTGAACTGAGACGGTACACCGTATGCGTCATATACCATTTGTTGGTCCCACCTCATTTCAGCACGGTCTCCCCACACACTCATCTCTGGAGGGACGTAACGAGACGAACCTACCGTTTGTGGTATAACAGATGGATCCAAAGGTTCGCCGTGAGAAGTCCAATTATAATAATTGGGAACAAAACCGACCGCGTACAAATCATACTTAACTTCGTGTGGGTCTTTAAATTTGAGATTTTTACACTTTGAACATGGACATCTTATTTTATCACCACTCATATAAGCCGGATGTTCAAGTGCAAATTCAATAAATTCCCCGACTCCCTCGAGAAAATTTGATTGCATTCCGTACAATACCGCATCTTTAGCATACATCCAACTTCTATTTTGTTTATACATTATGCCTGAATATTATAATAAAAAATTATATGAAATGCAATGCACACAATTTTAAGTAATTTATTTCACTAAATAATCAACTAATTTTCACTAAATTAAATGAATGCACACAATTCACAACAATAATGCACAAAATATAAGTAATTACCTAATACTTAAATTTAACTAATATTATAAAAAATTTAAGTAATTTATTAACACTACATTTAAATTAAACATATGTTTAACTAAATTTAACTAATTCATTTAGTTAAATTTAACTAAATTTAACTAGTTCATTCCATCCCCTTTTAATGCATCACTACGTTTAAACCTACGTTTAGCTAACTAATTTAACTTAATTAACACATCAATAGCTACGTTCAAACCTACGTTTAGCTAACGAATTTTAATTAAATTATTTTTGTAAACCTACGTTTAAACCTACACTAAATTATTACGTTAATGACATTTAATCTTATTAGTAATACACAATTAACAATTCACTAAATTAAATAATATGACCAAATTCAACCCAATAATTTGAACATGTATATAAAGTCATTTAAATTAATAAGCAATACACAATTCACAATAACAATTCACATTTCACTTAATTAACACATTACTAACGTACGTTATTTGAACTAATTTCACTTAACATAAACATCATTACGTTTTAAACTACATTTAGCAAACTAATTTTAATTAAATTATTTTATAAACCTAAAAGTTTAACTAATTCTAATTTATGACATTACTACGCTTATAGTTAAAACATGTTGTTAATTAATTAACAACCTAACCTCACTAATTTAATAGTTTTAATAATTTAAATTGAACCAACTAATTCTAAATAAAAATTATAATTCAAATAACATACCTTATCTGCATAAACAGGGAAAATGATAGAAGATAGACTACATCCTTCGATCTTTCAAACAGATACTGTATATACTGGGGATGAATTGGTGTGGTTCTGTTCAATGAGCTGCTCCTGCATATATAAAAAATTTAGTCACGGACTTAGTCACGGATTTGTCCGTCACTAAGCAAAACCGTGTCCATTACGCGTCCAACCCGTGTTAATGACGTGTAAATGACGTGTTAATCAAAGTAGTCACGGAACTAGTCACGGCCATTTCCGTGACTAAAGTTATCCGTACATAACACCGTTGCGAATTAATTTATGGGAGATGAAAAATTAAATTTTAATCATAGTCACGGGTTTAGTCACGGATGTGGCCGTGACTAAGTCATCGGGATCAAATAAACTTCGCCGGAAACGGAAACGGGCCTATCGGAGGATTTAAGTCACGGGCCACGACCGTGACTAATTGTAGTCACGGCCATAGTCACGGTCCAAGCCGTGACTATTTTTTTTTTTAAATTTCCGTGACTAGTCCGTGACTAAACTAGTCACGGACCAAATCCGTGACTATGGTCCGTGACTACACGCGTGTTTTTTGTAGTGTGAGCAGATTCGTGCTGATAACGTATTGTGAAATGAAGAAGATGAAAAACATATTTAAGAGATAGATATATTATTAATAACTTCTAAATTGCTTCTTCTTTATCTCTGAGATTTCTGAGTTTCTGAATTAATTTACAAGAGTTTGAGCAAGCCCTATTTATACTAGCCAGACATGGGATGAATCATCTAGGAATGATTCTACATGATTTGCTGGCAATATTGAATCTAGCCATGTGTGTGATTACAAGGACTTGTGTTTGATGAGTAAGGATGAGAACCAGCTAGGTGTCCTGATTACAAGGATGGACAATTCACACATGTCATTCTAGCCATTTTACAACAGAATTGGAATTGTTGTGTTTTCGTATTTTCTGTTAAGATGGATAATTTTAAGAGTGGTTTAGGTATTTCTCCCGACCAACGGACCAAGACATCAGGGACCACCCCCAATGTTAGAAGTTATAACATGCATCGTGATTGAGTACTATACAAATCGTCATGTCACATCACCAACCTAGCCTTCAATCTATCATCCCCGATGCATCATTATTGAGTAGAGTGTTTGAATACCCCAATTTGTACACAAATCTGTACACACATTTGGACAGAAAGTCATGTCCTCTTTCAAACGAATTGTCTGTGTGTACACATGCAATTCAGGGTGGTGGGTACAAAATGAAATACATTTTGGGGTACCTATAGAATTTTTGTATTGAGTAACAACAAAAATTGGAGCCCCTCCAGCCGTGCTTCGTACTACCTCCGTTCGTAACTTGTGAAATTTGTGTCACTTGTGAAATTTTACATTATTCACATGTTCTACTTTGACTACATTTTATTTATTGATGTATTAATATATATTTTTGAAAAATATATTATTAAATTTGTCTCATTGTAAATTTTCAAAAACTGATTTTTTTAAATTTTTTACTGATAGAGAATTATATATATTAATGGTCAAAAATGTGCCTCGAAGAGTGTGAAATGTTGAATGTAGCACTTATTTAAGAACGGAGGAATTATATTTTTTTGTTCTTCGCCAAAAGTTAAGAGGCCTTGATTACAATGTTTTTCGTCTTATCAGCCAATTTTTTCACCAAACACATAATTTTTTTTCGCGCGCCGAATTGTGTAATAAGCAGAAAAAGTAAGGTTGAAGTTACTTTTCTGGCAGTATTGGCTGAAGTTACTGTAGATGGCCATTTTAGCTATTTTTATATACTACCCCCGTCCCGCTATGCTAAGAACGTCCTACTTTGACCTGCACAAATATTTAGGAAATAAATTTGACTTTACTGTAGAGTACATTATTTCGACACTGTTTGACACTGTTTGACACTGTTCTGATGTAGGATAACTCTCCATTTAGGTAAATGAGAAGATCATTTTGAGACGGCTAAAAAAGGAAAGCAGGAAGATCTTAGCGGGACAGAGGGAGTATAACTTTTTCTTTATTTTATTAATAAAATATATTTTAAAAATATATTTTAAAAATATATTTTCTAAAATCAGCAGAATTAGCCAATGCAGCCACTTCAGCCAGAACATCACAAATTGCAGCAGAATCAGCCAAATCAGCCGATTTTTTTGCTAGCAAACGGGCTCTAAATGTTTGTATGTACTTTTTATTACGGAGTATTATACTCCCTCTGTCCCCCAATTAGGTTCCCCATTGCTTTTCACACTTATTAACATAAAAAATATACTGAGGGGTAAACTTTACTATTTTGACACTATTTTGACACTGTTTGGACACTGTCTGACACTATTTTGTACTGTTTTGATGTGGTTAATTTGTCAAATAAGGAAAGAAGAACTTAATTCAGGCACTATCCAAAAACGAAAGGGGAACTTAATTGGGGGACAAAGGGAGTATTCAAGAAAATTTCCTCTATACAAGTAAAACATTATAAAAGTGAAATAAGAATATAAATGTACTGTTGCTCCAAGTTCATATTTCATTTATATTCTTAATTTCTTATATTCAACTTCTTTATAGTAAAACTTTAGAGAAAACCACTCAATTTAGATTTTTAGGCAGTCATCTCCCGATTAGCCTGGTGCTAGCTGACCTGGACTGCTCCGTGGCATGTCCAGTTTTTGTCTTTTTCTTTCTTCCCATCCCACTTGTAGCATTCCTCCTCCTTCTGGTTCTTCGTGAGTTCTTCTCCTTCCACCCCTGTTTTTTGTCCTTTCTCTTTTTTGTTTTCCATATCCCATTCTGCTTCTTCCACTTCTATTTTCTCCGGTGGTAGTTTGCTAAGCCCTAACCTTAACCAGACAGAGCAAATGCGACGACTTTATTAAAACGGTTTGTCGCCTTGTCGGCCTCAATCTCTGAGCAAGGGCAACCTCAATAACGAGTGTGAACCTTTATTGAGTGACGTGTGTCTTCGATGCTTTCCTCTTTCCTTACCTTGTTATGCACATATCTTTGCCGTTCAAATTTGTTGTTTGTTTTTCTTTTTCTTTTCTCCTATTTTGTTCTTCTTTTGTATCTTGTTCTTTTTCATTTTCTTTTGTTTCTTTGTATGTCTTCTTCGTAGGATTCTTTCCAGTTTTGATTTGAACCAAAAGAAGTTTTGATTTGAAAAATGTTCAGGCACTCGGGATTAATATTTGATTTGAAAAAAATTATTGATATGGAATCAGATATTAATTAGAATCAATGTTCTAAAGGGCGTAAGGAGTGCCGAGGCGGCACCGGCAAGCCTTAAGCCTTTGAAGTCTAGGCGAGATTAGGCGTCGCCTAGGCGTGAAAAGACGTTTTGAATTTTTACTCATTTTTTAAATTTCTCTATTGGTATTAGTAAGCATGTAAATATATGTATAAGAAAAATTCATGCATAAACAATACATGTTTCAATTTGCTAACAAAATATTTTTGTAGAGTTATAAAAAGTACAAAGTGTAGGTGTACACACACAAAAACTAGAATTAGAGAAGAACAGAATGGTATAATAACAACAACAACAAACATCAACATTTGCATTCATGCAGGCAAAATCATTTATTCAATGGGGATGAATATGAACCCGACATACTTAAAAATGAATAAGGGCGACTTTTGCGATTTAGGTTTGGGTCTTAAATCTTTTGTTAGTTCATATGATTACTATTTTACATTAGTTTGCCCTTGTTTGGTACGTGCTTTATATCTTAATTATTAGGGTTGAGATTCAAGCGGGTGACAAAGAATCTAAACCGTACTAGAACTAGTGACTCATATTACTTTGATATGAATGATTGACTCAAAGTCTATTACAAGGATTGATGATCGAGTCATGTTGTGACTTGCTTAGTTTTCAATTATTTAATACAGAGTATAACCTAATTAGTACGTAGTATTAAAATAATAATACAAAATATTAGTAACATTAGGAATGATGTTTATATCACTAGTAGAAAATTGCCTTACAGTGACACTTTTACAGTGACACTTTCTGATATAATGTTACCAGTAACAAAAAAGTGTCAATATTCTCTAACACAAATACATCAACTTTACTTAGTGACACTTTTTAAGGAGTATAGCAACAATTCTACTAACGGGCCGGCCTGCGAAGTACTATTTCAACACTTAGGTTTTTTCCCACTCCCCTTACGTTTTAGATCAGTCTTCATCGGCTCATCTCTCTCCCCTCTTTCTACGAACCCTAACTGCTTGATAGATTATCGACTTTCTTGGCCCTGCCGCGCAGAACTCCATATCCTAAGTCAGAGAGTCCTTCTTTGCAAGTCGAGTGCTTCTTCCTCAGCGGTTCTAGTCACATTCCAGGTATGTACTTGGTGGGTTCTTTATCTCTTCTGAGTATTCTTTGAACATGTGCAAGAGGAAAACCTAGGGTTACGAAGTGGCAGCCGCCGATGGTGATTGATAACGCCTACAGTGGCCAAGTACCTTGATCGGACTTCTGGACGGAGGAGAAGACCGGCAATCGCAGCCTCTTGGTTTCGCTGGGCAGCTGGTCGCTAGCCTCTTGGCTTCGTTTTCATTTACTTTAATTTTTTATCTTCGGTTGTGCGATTGGATTTGGCTCTCTATTCTCAGATTATCTTCTTCTGGGCTATGCTTGGATCATAAACTCGAGGTTATGAATCATCTGCTCTGATTTCTAGCTTGTTTTCAATAAATTCATTATATTTTTTCAATATTTGTAGTTTGTCCAGTCTTTAGTTCTGGTTTGTGGCTGGAATCTCCACGGTGGGAAAAGAAAGGTTATCTTGGTAAGTAAAATATGATGTACCTTATTTCTTGTTGCTTGAAATTAAAGTTTTACATTGTGTTGTAATGCATCAGTCGCGAGAGTTGTTTTATAAGACAAGATAGATATTGGTCTAAGCAAATGATCTAAAGCATCATCCCACCAAAACCTCAACCCTTTGGTAACTTTCTTAATTTTTTGAAAGGTTTCATTGGCTACGGCAATTTTAAGGCTATGAAACAACTTTACTTATAGGAAGATTTATTTGGGATTGCCTGAGTGGCCGCTATATCTTGCAGCTATTCAACCCTATGTTTTTAACACATTTTTTAATTCTAAGTTGTGATGTCTTCTTTTGAGTTATTTTTCTGTAGCTAATATGGTTTTTAGAACTGTTTGGGAGTCACCTTTTCCTCCACAACCTGCTTGAGGATGGATAGTGCTATTGTTTCAACTTCTTTCAGGGTGAGTTCCTTGGTATACTGCTCCTGCAAAGAGCTGTTAGCTCCTTCAAAACCCAAACCAATAGCTTTTGCATTGCATTGCCAAAACGTTCCAGATGGGTCTGTATAATACATAACGTTCCATGTAGTTTTGTAGTTATTTTTTATGCCCAAAAACCATTGGTTTGATCTATATCTTATTTAGCTCTCTTGCAGATCTAATTAGTGTTTTGGTTTTGAGACAAAGAGTTTTTGTTGAGCAGCTCAAGTCCAAAAATAGCAGCTTCAGTAGAGTATTAGCACCAAATTGATGCTATAGACTATTAGTGGTAGCTTTATTTTGTTAGTTTTTGTTACTTATAATATTGCAAAGTTAAAAAATTATGCAGGCTATGTTGAACCAGATATTGAGAACTGAGAAGTACTCCAAAGACTTGCTTTATTGGATTTCGATGGAGATGCAAGCAAGGAATTATGATGTCTAGCGTGTAGCATGTAAAAATGTTGTATAATCAAAGTGTAGATGTATAGCATCTTGTAATACAATAGTGTGTAAGTACTTTATTGATATTGACATTGTAAAATAATTGGAGTAATAAATAAAAATATTGTTCTTTTGTTTTGGCTATTTATTGATATTTATATAATCTATAATAGAACTAGAACGAAATAATACAATGATTATAAAAATGATATTATTGTAATTATATACTAATGTGTCGTAAATTTTATGATACTAAAGTGTCACAACGTTTTATGATACCAAAGTGTCATAATCTTGCATCACATTAATGTGTCATAATTTACTGACACTATTTCGTTTTACAATCAGTGACACTACATTTAGTGTCACTAGCCCCCACCTTTCCCGACGCTTTTTTAGTGTCATAGAAACTTTCAGTGACACTAAATTAGTGTCACTATAAGCCCTTTTTCTACTAGTGTATAATAGTATCCTATATTTAATATTTATGTGCTAATTTCATATCAAAATTCGAATGTCCAGCCCACAATTGATGGTGTAGACTTAGGTGTTGGTTTATAGTTTATACGTGGCTTAATTCTATGTAATATATGCAGCCAAGTTCAATCTCAAAGAAAGCACAGCTAGTTTGCTTATTAACTTTCGTTTTTTCTTCTACCTCACCTTGCCCACCGGATGGAGAGGAAAAGTAATCCTCCGCGTGAGCCAATAAATACTTCGTACAAGTCATTCTCGATTCTCATGAAGCAGGCGACAGCCAGTGCTCAACGTTCATACGTTGGCTACTTAAGCCTAATGATTTTTTGGGCTGGACGCCTTTTGTCTCGCCTACCGCGCATGCGGGTCGTTTTGGCTAAGCCTTGAGCCTAGGCCCGCCCAGGCGGCGTTTTATGGGGCCTTTTAGAACACTGATTAGAATCGATGGAACCAGATATTAATTGGAAGAGTTAATTCCCTAAGTGGGAGTAAAACATTAGAAAAGTACAAAAGTAGGACTTACATGTTTAGTATAGTTTCATAGGAATTAAAAAAAAAGAAATAAAAGAAATAAAAGCTGACATTACTCCTTCACAACCACCACCCCACAAGTTGTTGCCTACACCAGTTCCCACAAGTTGTCTCTGATGTCAGTTGTCACTGCCTCCATCAGTTTCCACCACCGCTGGTTGCCGACTTTCTCCACTGTCGCTGCCACTTCAGCTGGCATCGCCACCGCCACCTCATCCAGTGGCACCGCCGTCCTCATCCGACATTGCCGTCACCCTCAGTTTGCACCACCTCCTCATACATTGTGGAAGGTGTGTCTTCTAACACCACTATATATCTCCTCCGGCGTGGATGCAATGCTTTCATAAACGCAGAAGTTGAGTCATAGTGTCATCTTAAGGACTTATCAATTAATGACATATTATCCTCCATGTCATGGCACTAATTGTTAAAAAACCGATATTATAACTTTGTGATGGCATTAATTACAAAAAACATGGTATTTTATTATCATTTCAAAATGGCATTATAAGACAAAAAAATCTATTTTTAAAAAAATAGCAAAATTGAAATAATTTTTAATATAGATCCAAAATCTTGATGTAAGTAATTTTTGGAGTCTCACAATTTTTAATCCAAAAGTTAGTTACTTATCCACAATAGCATAACTTTGATTTTGAATCTCAAAATTAAACATTTGAAGCAATAGAAAATAGCAAAAATTTTAAAAGAAGAAAACAAAGGCTGGAGTGAGGATGGAGGAGGAGAAGAAGAAGATGGAGGATGGAAGAGAAGAGATGGAGGAGGAGGTTGATACTTACTGAGGAAAACTGGTATATCGCCGGAGTTACGACACATGGCCGAAGTCACGGTGTAGAAGAGAGACGAATCAGAAATCGCCAACTGGCGAAAGAGATCTAAACAGAGGTGGCTGCTGGAGATGGGGAGTATCGTCTCCACCTTCCTTCTGCCGTAGATTGGGAGTATCGCCTCCACCTTTGAAATCCTCAAGAAAGAGAAAGTTTAATTTTGTTAAAATGTAGGTTGATAAAGGTGGGTGAGAGATGAGGCTTGGTCAAATCAGGAAGTAAAAGTTGCATTGGGAAGGAATATATTTGTGCAAGTGCGTGTGACAGCTAAAGGAGTAAGGAGATATTTGACCGTGTGTGAGAGGGTAAATTTGAAAAAAGAAACGGATGGTCAATTAAAAGCTCTTATTTTGCGAATAAATCAATAAGCACTCCAACTTTGGACCTTCCTTATTAATTTAGTCCTATTTACAGTGAAGATGGGAGACAAGCTTACCTCTTCAATTTTGTCTTCTTTTTTTGTTCTGGCCTTCTGGGAACACCACAATTTCACCGTCCATGGTGGATGGAAGAACTAGCCTCCGATTGAGTGCAGAAAATCTTTTTATTTCCAATAAATTAAGACGAATCTTAGTTGCTATTAGAAGTCATATACGATAGTTTTATTTTTATTTCAAACTGGACAGTGTTACTTTTTAGTTTATTATATATTCTTTGAGATGTATTCAAGATATTGTTTCTAGCATATGATAAGTTGGATATTTCTTCATTACAGATTATGAATATTTTAATACTTGTAATATTATACTATATAAAATTTCATATTACAATCATGTTGTTTTATATCTATACGTGTAGTTAAAAATTATATAAAAAAATATGATACAAAATGGTTAATATAAATCTAGAGAAGTGTTGCCAATTTTGAATAAAATGTTTCATAAAGTATTTATTAAAGTGTTACAAAATATAATAAGTGTTGCAAAATAGTATAGCAAATATGTGTTGGAAATATTGTGAGTATTTCAAATGAATAAAGTTTTATTTCTTTTTTAATTATTTTTTGACACACTAATTTATTAATAAAATAATATACATAATAAAATAATAACTATAATGAAAATAAGATTTTTAACGTTATGTTAGAACGTTACAAAGTATTGGTCATTAATGAGATTTTCTTTTAAGCTTCCTTTCAAAACCGTTGCTAGCTTTAAATTTCATTAAAGCATATTTATAACCATGCATGACCAATGTTGCTATCTGCTAGCAACGTACGTTTTAATACGGAGTGTATCTAAATCTAAAATCTTCAATGAAGGTAAAAGCATTTTAGGTATGAAAAATGTGTTGGTGTAATATGAGTGCTGAATAGAGTTGTACAATATGTTTACACGTTTGTACATTTTGCTATTGGCCTCTTCCCTCCGTCACGTCTCCATCTTCAAGCGGTGAGTTTTGAATAATTATAAGCATTTCCGTCAAATATGTTCCGTTTCCTGTCGATTTGCCTTACTTGTTAATCTAGGGATCATCTCTCCTTCCATTTTGCCTCTTCGCATACCCTATAAGGATCCAAATACCTCAAACATGATATCGTTGGGTAATAGAGAACAACAGATCGATTAACAAGCACTGCCTTTCTCTTTTCTTTCTCGATCATCGGTGCTTGGATTTTCCTTGTATTTTACATTACTGTAACATCTTAACCTGTACACATTTTAAAATAATACAAACATTATTACATTTTAAGTAACGTAGCTGATTTAGTTCAGGGATGGATTTAGGGGGGGGGGGGGGGCTTGGACTTTCAAAAATTTCTATTATATATATAATATTTTTATAATATTTTCAAACTTTAGCAAGACATATATGTGTTCGCCCCCCTTAACTTCTTTTTTTTTAGAATTAATATATAATCTTACATAATGTAATACTTAATTTTAGATTGAAAAGAAGAAACATCTAAAACAATTTACATAACTCAAACAAATAGAAACAACTAATCATTTAAAACTTAGGATATACTTATTATATAAAAATTCCTAATTTTTTAATGTTTAATTATCTTTGTTAGGTTCTTTCAAAAAAAATTATCTTTGTTAGATAATTAGTAATCGGTTTTGAAAAATATCAAATGAAATCAAAGACCAGGCACACTAGTTAAACAATTTTAGATCATGTGAAATGAATCCAAAATATATATGTTTGTTGACATTAAATTACACAATTCATTTACTTCTTACACTTCATAAAAACAATTTATGGCGTAGATAATAAACTTTAACTTATTTTAGCAATAATACAAATACAATATGCACCATATATATATGGATTAGTATCATAATATTTTTCTAAAAATAGTAATCTGATACATATACTATTGCAATTCCAAAATCAGATCTTTATTGCGATAATATTCATGTGGTTAAACAAGACAGAAGTTATTTAAAAAATATTATGTAGTAATAGATATGTACCTTTTAAATTTTTCTTCAAATAATTTGATAATTAAAATGTTATATATCCTTTTTATTTCAAATAATTTTTTCTTTGATTTATCATTTATTACGCTTTAATGTATCAATACTTTTTCTAGATAATTTCAATTATAAAATCAAAGTTATTTTTCTATTGTCTAAATCTAAAATGTAATAGATTTAGTTATTGTCGTGTATGTGTATCAAAGGAACTTTATTTGAATAAAAAATAACCGTAGAGTCCTATACTAGCGAAAAAATTTCGTCCCGCTACATTAGCAAAAAAGAAAAAGTCGCTCTGCTACACTAGCGAAAAAATTCGCACGCCACACTAGCAGAAAAGTTTTTACCCCGTCCACAAACGAAAAAATTTCACCCCCCTTAACTCCAAATACTGGATCCGTCCCTGATTTAGTTCTATATACGGAGTAAATACACATAGATAAAAATTATAAATAAATAAATAAATAAATAAATAACCAAAGGCATTCACCGAGATTTTGCCAACCAATTCACATTGTAAACGTTCTTGTCAAAAAAATAAAAATCACATTGTAAACGTTAAAAAAACTACGTATACAAACTAATCTAAATACATTCACATTTTGTAATGGACACTAGCATGGCTGTCTATTAAATGTATTATGTATATACATAGAAAATATAAATAATTAGCATGTAACCATTACACATGGCATCTCCTGCAAGCTTCATGTGCAAACCCAGGACACTCCACATTATGCTCAATTGCCCAACAATAAGACAAGCATGCATATATGCGGCACAAGTCAATGTATAGAGGACAAAGCAATTTTTATATTAAATATATAAATATTTTATTAAATAAAGTGGCTTTTTTTGACAAATTAAATAAAGTGGCTTAGACAATCTTTACAAAATTATAAGCACCAATGAGAGTAAGGTTATTTTTGGCATAAAATTTTTGTTGGTGGTTTTACAGCTTAATGGACATGTACATCATGCTTCAGTAATTGTAACATTTACTAGCTTCCGATTGCCGTATCCTATTGCCGTTAACAAGCGTTATGTTAGTTATGTACCATGCCGTTAGTAGTCTCAACCGCTCCACCCGGTCAATCCTCTAACCACGTCTCTCTTTTTATTCCACACATTCAAACCAGTTCACCGCTGTCAGGTTAGCCGTCGAGGTCCCATATCATCCGCTGCAGAGGATCGCAACCATCTTTTGTCGCTTTCCTTCACCCCCTTAGCTTGACCCATTCGTCTTCTCCAATTAAGGGTGTTATCTTCTCGTGCATTTAAGAAGGTAATTTCATTTCATATACATCCGAAAACCGATTGTCACTCTAAGTTGTTTCAATTTCTTGTTCAGTGCGAGCTATGGAAATCGAAGGGACTCTCTCACCTTCAATCATTCCACCTACTACTTTGCCTGGCAGGGGATTCTCTGGTTTCCCTCCCGCAGCTTAGCCGTCTTTTCCCGGTAAGCCTTTTAGGCCATTCGGTATGTTTTCTGCCTATGCATATCCTCCCATTTTACTGATTGACATAACATTGGGGCGGAAACTATTTGTTAACCTACCCCAGGAGGACCAGGACATATACACGCCTTTTCCAATAAATTTTTCTTTGTTATAATTTAATTTATGATTTTAGTATGTTTCTATCACCCACCATTCCTCTATATGTTGCAGCATGTTTAAATGTTTTAACATTTCTATAATTTAGTTATGTGTTTTATTTTCAGCAACAAGTAAAAGTTTCAACTCATGAGTTTTCATCTCAGTGGTTATAGGCTTATAGCTTTAACACCTCTTTAGCTAAACAAAATGCAAGTTTTGAGCCTCCAACCCAAGGTAATCCACACTTTTATTTGGCATTTTAATTTGCTCATACCTACCTTAACTTCTGGTATTGCTGTGAAACATCACTGAGCTTCCAAAATTAGTTAGGGAATACTTTAAATGTTCATCAACAGTGATACCATAACTGCTTCTATTACATGAGTGTATGTTGTGTCTATAGTAAACTGATATCTTAATTACTTGCTTGATCTTTTATCTATCTTCTCTTACTTTATCTTTTTATTTCTCTTATCTTTCTATTTTCATTTGTGTCATCTATGCGTTTGTTAAATGTCGACCTGAATTGAAGTAATACTTTCTCAAACGTCTATTTATACCTGCCCTGTTTTATTTAATTTTTTTTAAAAATACGTTTGCATCTATGCAACCAAAGTAGAGAAAAAGTTTAATGCTTATTCAAATATAACGTATAGTTAAATTTAAAAAACTGACTATTGTAGCTTATAGACTTGTGTGGTATGGCTCCTATTACATACTTATCATTTAAGAGTAGTAAGGAAAGGGTTCTATGGTCTCCAATGTAAGGCCATTCTAAATTGGAGGACATGCAACTATAAATTTAGAACACGGCTCAGCTAGAAAAATTGTCTATATTGAAAAATGCATCAACTTTTTCCGTTCTAAGAATTGGTCGGCCAACTTTTCTCAATAGCAAAAAGCCAGGTTCTCTAAAATGAAAGCATTGCAGTGTGTTTAGAAGGAAAAATAGAAGCAATCGAACCCAATTGTTGGAGATTGGAGAGAAAGAATCTAACTGTTTATAGAAATGTGCTTTGTGAATCGAACCCACTTATGAGGTTTTATGATTACTTTGTAAGGTTTTATGATTTCTTTTAAGATTGCTTTGTATTTCATGTTAGACTGAATTTGAAAAAATACTTTTGTTTGGAAAGTGTATATTAAAATTCTTTATTCAACTATCTCTTGCTAAAATTTCACACATGACTGCTATTAGTTTTGTTGTACTTTGGTTTTTGGAGACAATTTTCACTTTTAGAATTGAGTAGGAGATTATGTGTCCTAAATATAAAAAATTATGTTATCTGTATGGAGATTGAACAAGTTTGGTAGCAGTTAGTTGATAGTTCCCAAGTTCCCTAGATAGTCCAAACACCAAGTTGGATAAATTTGCTCTATATGAGTAGCTATTAAGTTGAAACTATGGATACAACACAACTTGCTCTAACCATTAGACTAACCTGTTAACTATCTATACCTTTATATAAAAGTTTTCTATGAGCCTTA